GGGCTGCGCGCTCCGGAAGAAGGGGCCTGCGAAGGGTGAGCCTCAGCCGCTGAGAGACCATTGTCTTCCCGAAGTGCCCAGACCCCTCACCGCCACACAGTGGTGCTGTCCGGAACGGTCGGACTGTCTCATGGGAACAGTTCAAACACCAACAAGGCGTGCGGAATCGGTGAAATCTCTGTCCACTCCCTCCGCCCCGCACTGACTAGCTTCTGGTTAGAATCTTACTCTGGTGATTAAGAACCTGAACGTCGGGGCTGGAGGGCCAGCCTTCAAATTCAGGATCTCCTGCCTGACTAGCTCTGTGACCTTGAACTAATGACCCAACCATTCCTTCCTGGCGTTCTGTTCAGTAAGAGGATTAAATTAATGCTTATATAGTGCCTGACACACAGCGAGTGCCATGCAAGTGTTTGTTAAATTTTAAAAAATATAAATAGATTCTTATGTTTTTTTCTTGTTCATACCAAGCATGTCAGTCTACACCGGCTACTCTGCAGGTTCCCTCTGCTCCCCTGGGTCTGGGAGACCTTCCCGCCTCAGCACAGGGGCAGGTCTGTGTCTGCTCTCACAGGGGCAGCGCCCCCTGCACACACGGCCCCTCGGGGGCACTTGCACCATCTCTGACTCTTTGTTGTTACAGTTAATGGTGCAGGAAATAACCTTTTATATGAGGCATTTCACAGTAATGGAAGCTGATCTGTCAGATAAATTCTCAGAAGTGGTAATTTGGATCAATAAATAAATAGTTTGGATAAAGATTACTCTATTGCCCCAGTAGACATTATGCCAAATAGCACCCAAAATATACAAAACCTTAGCAACAAAACATCTAAGGGTGGCTGCCTCCCCACAGTCGCCCCATCAGGGGGCGTTATCAAGCACCTTCTTTCTTCGTTTGTTGCCAGTCTCATGGGCGGAAATCATCTCCCTAGTCAGTGAGATAGGCATGCTTTCATAAGTTATTTACTTTTCTGTGGACTGATAAAAAATTAAAATAAAAAAATAATTAAGTGTATTTTATTGGTTATGCTATTACTGTTTTCCCAATGCTCCCCTTTTATCTCCACTCTGCCCTGCACCCCCAACCCTCCAGCATTCCCTCCCTTAGTTCATGTCCATGGGTTGTACATATAAATCCTTTGACCTTGGTTCCCTATACCATTCTTAACCTTTCCTCGTCTACTTTATGCCTACCAATTATGCTTCTTATTCTCTGTACCTTTCTCCACATTCTTCCCCTCCCCCTCACCACTAAAACCTTCCATGTGATCTCCATTTCTCTAATTCTGTTCCTGTTCTGGTTGTTTGCTTAGTTTTTGTTTTCACTTTTTTAGGTTCAGTTGTTGACAGTTTTAAGTTTGTTGTCATTTTACTATTCATAGTTTTTGATATTCTTCCATTTCTTAGATAAGTCCCTTTAACATTCCATATAACAAGGGCTTGGTGATAATGAACTCCTTTAATTTTACCTTCTCTGGGAATCACTTTATCTGCCCTTCCATTCTAAATGAAAGCTTTGCTGCATAGAGCAATCTTGGATGTAGACCCTTGCCTTTCATGCCTTTGAATTCTTCTTTCCAGCCCCTTCTTGCCTGAAAGGTTTCTTTTGAGAAATCATTTGGTAGTCTTATGGGAACTCCTTGGTACGTAACTGTCTCCTTCTCTCTTGCTGCTTTTAAGATTCTCTCTTATCTTTAATCTTGGGTAACTTAATGATGATGTGTCTTGGTGTGTTCCTCTTTGGGTTCAACTTCTTTTGGACTGCATGGGCTTCCTGGAAGTCTATTTCCTTTGCCAGATTGGGGAAGTTTTCCTTCATCATTTGTTCAAGTAAGTGTTCAATTTCTTACTCTTGTTCTTCTTCTGGCACCCCTATGATTCTGATGTTAGAGTGTTTAAATTTGTCCCAGAGTTTCCTAAGACTTTCCTCATTTTTTTGAATTCTTGTTTCTTCATTCTGTTCTGGTTGGATGTTTATTTCTTCCTTTTGTTCCAAATCATTGATTTGAATTCTGGTTTCCTTCCCGTCACTGTTGGTTTCCTGAATTTTCTGCTTCATTTCATTTTGGGTAGCCTTCATGTGTTCCTTCATTTTTCAATTGAGCTTAACCAGTTCTGTGAGCATCCATATTACCAGTGTTTTGAACTCTGCATCAAATAGGTTGGCTATCTCCTAGTCACTTAGCTCTTTTTCTGGAGCTTCGATCTGTTCTTTCATTTGGGACATATTTCTTTGTCTCAGTGCACCATTATGTTGTAAGGGGTGGGGCCTTAGGTATTCACCTGGGCAGGGCAACCCTCTTTGCTGTGCTGTGGTGGCGCTGTCTGTGGGGCACGGGTCAGAGAGGGGAAATGTGGCTTGCTTGATCTGCTGCAGCCCCACTTTCCAATGAACTCTCTCTTGTGAGACTGGGACTTTCTCCCCCATGGCAACCCCCCAACATAGTTTACAGCTAGCTTTGAGTCTTTAGTTTCCCGTTCAGGCAGCCCCACCTCGCCTGTGCAACACCCCACCTTGCTGCAGGTCTTCTCTGCTTGGCTGTCCATCTCTGCCCTCCCACCCATCTGAGTGAATGTTCTTTAACTCCTTGAGTGTCGGATTTCTGTGCAGCTTGATTTTCTGGCACCTCTGGTTGTTTAATGTTATTAGATTGGTTGTTTATCCTGCTTTTTGGTTGTGCAAGGAAGCGAAGACTTTTTACCTACGACTCCATCTTGGCCAGAACTATGATAATTCATGTTTTTGCATATTTTCTAATGGGTTGTTTTATACATTAAAATTTGATATTTTTTTACATATTTTAAAAATATTTACCTACTACATGTTTTCTCCCCTTTTACCATGTCCTTGATGATCTTGACCATTTGTCCCCATTTCCCATTGTCCGTCACAGTTAGTGGCACACAGGAAGAGCTCAGGTGTCTGTAACTTAAACAGCTTCATGGGGGAAGGAGCAGCAGGTCCCTGCTCTGTCCCTTCTGTTCCCTGCACAGACCCAGGTCAGCAGCAGACAACCACACCTTTCCCCCAGGGGCCACACAGGAGCCCAGGGCAGGGGGGCAGGGCACTCACCTGGGATGGAAAGCCTGGCTGACCTCTGCTGGCCCAGCAGGGGGGTTTCTGATGACACAGGAGACCCCCCTCCCCAGAGCCACCTTCCAGGATCACAGAGGCTGAGGCTGCATAAAGGCCCTGGGGGTCTGCAGCCTCTGTGGCCACCTCAGCAGACAAGCTGTGTCCCCTGGCGTCTCTCCACTGGATCTGGGGCTGCGGGTACCAGCCGGCAGACGTGCACTCCACACGGATCCCTCCAGCCTCGTAGCCCTTCATTTCAATGTGGGGATCAGAGCCCAGCGCTGGGGAGGGACAGTGAGTCTGAATTCTGAGGAGCCCTCTGCACTGGTGAGGGGTCTCCACAGCAGGGAGGGGCACACCCACCCTGGATGAGCCCAGCAGGGATTCCCCAGGAGCTGTTCCCAGAGTGTTCTGTGCAGGAGAGACTGACCCACGGTGTGACCACTGCTTGACCATTGCTGGCCCCTCATGCTGGATCCAGGGCGATCTGGGCCAGCACAGACATTGCTTCCCCTAAATCCCCTTGGAGACTGCTGGACTCTGCCCTCCCCCATGGCCCAGACATGCTGGTTCCTGGAACAGCCCCTCACCCCACCCTGGGCAAGCATGTAAACGGTTCCCCCTTAGCTGAAGCAGGTCGCACCCCAGTGCCTCAATTCATTCTGCCTGTCTTCTGTGAGCTTTGCCCTGCCGTGTGGAGAAAAAGACATGAACCTTGTCTTCTTGACGCCCAAGCTGTGTGTTGTATGCTAGGGCCCTCGGAAAACTCTGATATATTAAGGATTGAGTTGTCAACCTCTTTTTTCAGCATAGGAAGTTTTTATAATTTGGTGATAGAGAGGGGATAACTTTTCCACAGAAGAGGGTTGACTCGGGGACAGGAACAGTGAAGTTGTGATTACCTGTCCTTGAACTCTCAAATGCAAGACAAGGTGGTAGAAGCCTAATGAAGAATAGAGTCATGTAGGGAAGACCAGCTTCAAAACCTGCATTCTCCAGGAAGGGACTATAGCTACCTCTGGCCCTGCAAGGACAAAGCCAGGACCTCCCCACCATCCATCCCCTGCTGGACTCCCCAGTGACCCACCAGGCAGAAGCCACAGGACAGGGCTGTGTCCTGAGAAGGTGAAGTGTAGCCCTGACACATGGACACGAGCACCTACATGGGGCAGCACCTCGGACAAGGTGCTTTTGTCACTGGGATGGGTCAGGACAAGGTCAAGACCACTCAGCAGTCAGGTCTCAGCACAGTGGGGGCCGGTGTTGGTGAAGACCTGAGAGTGTTCTCAGGTTGGCTTGGAGCCTGTGCCTTTGACCCTAGGAAAAGCAAGTGCAGATCAAACATATGAGGCTCACCTGCCACCTTTAGATCCACCTGAGCTTTTGCATAGATGTCTCCATCTTGGAAATAACACAGGTAGATTCCTCTGTCAGAGGCTCTGACGTCTCGAATCTGGAGAGCAGCCTTCCCCGCAGTGATGTCCTCTCTTAAAATCGAAGTTCTCCTCGATACTCTGCTGCCGGCGTGTCCTCCTGCCCGTGTGCGTACGTGTGCACTACCTGCCTGGGGCTGGGTCGCATCCATATCAACTGCATGGTCTCAGCGCTCATCTCCGGGGACAGGTGACAGGGCAGCTCAGCGTCTTCACCCTCCATGGCCAGGATGGGCTCGGGGGGTCCAACCACAGCAAACTGAGCTGGTTATCAGAAGGGGGGGCTCCGTCAGAGGGAGCTGGGGCCAGAGGACCAGGGGGTGCCCCAGCAGGGAGGGCGAGGGGAGAGACACCTAGACAGGAACTCAGTCCTCACACAGGTGGGTCTGGATGGGCCTTGCAGGGGATGGGGGGGGGGCGTCCCAGGGGTTCTGACTGGGCCCCAAAGGTAAAGGGCTTCAGATGCACGAACGCAGAGCAGGTCCTACCTGAGCAGGGGGTGAGCAGCTGGACCACGGCGAGGCAGACAGGGAGGGCAGGCAGACGGGGGACCAGGCACCTCACCATCGTTCCCTGCTGGGCAGAGGGAGACGCCAGCAGGGGCTGGGCGGCAGTGACGACCTGGGAGAAGGTGGAGAATTCCACATGGAGACGGTGCCTCCCCAGGGCAGACAGGGGGCGTGCAAACGCAATGGCTGCTGACCCAGAGTCTCCTCTGCAAACGTCTCCTGGGGATTTTCTTCACCTTGGATCCCAACAGGGAAATCACCCATGAAGTAGGGAATGGTAATGGACGTACCTTAACCCTCTCCACCAGGGAGTGCGGGGCTCTCCTGTGGGAACGAACTCAGAATCCCTCCACTCACCCTCAGTTCCTGCCACAGCCAGGTGCGCGCCCCCAAAATCACCCTCTGAGGAAGGCAGGCCCCTCCCCTCTGAGTCCCCTGATCCCACTGCTGCCCCCTGCAGGCCGTGCTCCGCACAGCAGAAAGGACCTCCTGACCCCTCACCTCCCTGCTACTCAGCCGGATCTTTATGCTCTGGGAGATCTGCTGACCTTCTACTAGTTATCTGAGCAGACTGCGTTGCTTGCACTTTGTCCTCAAAAGGAGAACTCTCAGCACTGGCTTCTCGTGTCTTTGTTGTGTGTGTGTTTTTTTTTCTTTCCATTTTCATCGTTAGAAAAGCCCCTGCCTGTGTCCAATTGTTCGGACGTTCTTTGAGCTGAGACCCCATATTCTGGAGCTGCAGGCCCTTGAATGGACCTACTTTCCTCCCACCAGTCCCTGTCTCTCAGTTATTGGTTTTCAAACAGCAGGAAGGCAAACCTGGGTTTGATATCAACTTCTCTTCTGGAATCTCCTAGAACACGTTCCCAGAGACGAGCAGGAGAGACTGTGAGGGGCCTTGCCCCTCTCTGACCACAGGAAGTTCCCAGGGATGGGCAGGTGTCCAGCTCCCTGGTTCCCGTTGTCTCCCTCCCACAGGTGTCCCAGTGCAGACCTTACCTGCCCTGCTCCACGCTCCCCTTGCGGGCTCAACAACTTCTCAGCCTCCCTCCCAAGGGGCCCTGGGGCCCTGGCTCTCACCAGCTCCCCACAATTACCCTTCGTTCTTCCAGCTGAACATCCCAGGGCTCAGGCACTGGAAAGTTCTCCATTAGAGTTGAGTCTCCGACCCGGAAGGAGGGTGGGGACAAAGAAGGCTTCCTCTCTGCCAGAAACAGGGCCAAGTCCCTGTGTGAAGATATTCCTTTGATTGGCTCGAAGCCATATGTCTCATCAGTTGCTGGGCAGAAACCAGTGGGCAAGGTTGGCGTGAAGCAGGACCCCGTGTTGGGTGGACCAGTGCAGACCAGCTCCAGCCCTGACTCCCACCCTCTGGGTCTCTCTGTGTGGTCACCTGCGTGAATCAGTCCTGGGTGTGGGTGTGTGTGAGCAGTACCTCACTGCACACACCTGCTTCATGTCACTTGTGTCACAGTGTGTTCAGCAGAGGAACCAGGACAGAGCAGCAGAGGGCAGTGTGGGAGCAGAGGAGGGTGCAGGAGTTACAGGGTCATTGTGGTCGTTTGCCAACGACTTTGACAGCAGAGCCCAGTGCAGGTGTGACAGAGAGAGGGCAGGCCCCCGCCACCTGTCCTGGCCCCTGTGACACTCAGGTCTCAGATCCACTCCCAGGCAGCACCGTGTTCAGGTTCCCACGGGCGGTGCTGTCAGGGGCCGATGGGCAGGTTCCAGGTTTTCCAGGGAAGGTTCATGGGGGCGTTGCTGAGAAGGGTCCATCCACCCTCTGCCCCTCATCTGAGCTGCACCTGGGTTTCAGGTGTGCTCACTTCCCTCTGCTGCAGGATCTGTGTTCTCTGAGGTTGGATGGGACAGGCTGTGAGTGTGTCTGTCAGGGGACTTGGAGGCCAGCAGGGTCCACCTGTGGCCTGGGGCCTCCAGAGACACTGTGTTTAGGTCTCAAGTGCGTGAGTTGAGCCCCCAGGGCAGAGTGTGACTGTGGTTGATGGACTGTGATGCATCCCATGGTGTGAATGTGGGTTCTGGGGTGGAGGTGGCTGCTCCCTTGTGCCACATCTGTTCCCTGCTGCTTCTCAGTGAACAGACCTTGTTTCTGAGGGGAAGGTACTTCATGTGTCCATCCCTGTCAATGACGGGAGTTTCTAGGGCACAGGAGACAAACACAAGGCCCAACGACCAAAACCGACCCTCTGCTTCGTTTTATCCGGCCCAGCAGCTAGTTTCTACCTGGCATCAGTGCTGAGCTCCTTGCCCCTAATAAGGAGCAGTTACATTTATATGGTCCTAAAATTACATTCTGCTCTTTAAAGGCAACTGTGAGGCGGATGTGGCCCCTAGGAAAATGAGTTTGACAAACCTGAATTCTAGGGACTAATTTTGAGCTGATGGTTTGCAGGTTGAAGTTGTTGGTTGTGTTTCTCAAGAAACCCACACTCCCCCCACTTCTTCCTTCCTGTTGGGTGGACACCGTCTCTGGACCTGGAGCTCAGCAGCCATCTTGTCACCAAGAGGCCACCTGGGGATGGAAGCCACACACAGAGAGGGCAGAGAATGGAGACAGGTGGAGGCTGGGGCGTGGATGCCTCTCTGAGCTCTCACACCAGCCCTGGACCGCCGCCCTCTGGGGTCATCTCCCATGAGAGGAACGTGAACCCGTGTTTAGTTGAGGCCCCAGGCACCTCTGGTCTCTGTTACCAGCAGCAGAACACGGCTCTTCCCGCCCCACCCCCTCTGTCAGCAGTTTGTCGGGAAAACTACAAACACAGAACGCAGTTCAGGGAATGTTTCAATGAACACTGGATGTACCTACTGCTTGTTTTTTAATGGTTTCTCTTTTTCCTTTTTTAAATTGCACTATAGTTTTAAAATTTGAATGGATTGGGGTGCTATTGATTCACAAACTCAGTTTTGAAGTGTAGAACCCAATAAAACTTCATCTGCTCACTGCTTTGTGCACCTGTCATTGCAAGGAAAGTCCCTTTCTGTCCCCATTTTTTGTCCCTTTGCCCACCTCCACCCACCCCTCCCCTCTGGCTGTCACCACACAGTTGTGTGTGTGTGTGTGTGTGTGTGTTTCTCGCTCATTCCTTCACCTTCTTCCACTCAGCTCCCCACCCCTCCCTTCTGACGGCTGTCAGTGTGTCCTGTGCATCCAGGCCTCTGCACAAGCACTGTTGAGGGTCCACAGTGCACGTTTAAACACACGCTTACTTCATAATCATCCATCCTTCTGTTGATGCCCCTACACTTAGTTATTTATCTGCAGCCCTTTAGAGTAAGCTGGGAGCATCAGTACACCTTCCCCTGGGAGCATCCACACACACCTGTCACGGAGAACTCAGTCCTGAAATGCGTGAGACACCGAAGCTGTGTTTAAAACGTGGATGTAGGAGTAATTTTCTGTCGTAATTTCAAAATACTCAGTGGGCATCCCTTGCTTCTAAATGTCTAGTCTCCCTCCTTTTACGGACAGTCTGGCCCAGGTCCCTGGCCCCTCCTCCTAAGATCAAGGCCACCTCCAATGTTCTGTCAGCAGGATGCTCCCCACAGCCTGACACAGGACAAGCACCCACTCAGGCCCCTTCCCTTGGTCCCCTGGCATCTGATGACAGAGGTTCTGGCTTCACCGCTGATGCCACAGCAGGGGACTGTCGTTCTTGGGGACCTGTAGGATGTGGGCCTCCATGAATCCCCTCAAGAATGGCAGTGTGATCCCTGAGAAAAAAAGACACCACTAACAAGGGGTCTTGGTGAGCAACTGGGCTCACACATTGAAGAACAGAGCCTGGCGGCCATTTCTGCTCAGGGTCCCTCCCACAAACTGGACGTCACAGAGAGAGGCCTGCACTGGGCTGCTCCCCTTTGCACTGACCCTTCCCGCAGGTGATTCTTCCCGCTGAGCCCGCCCTTCTTTAGAAACCTGCCAGAAGCCCACTTCAAGCAATAGGACCCCGGCTTCCAATTCCAGTCACAGGTGTGCAGCACTGGCCAATCACAGCGGCTCAAACAGGACAGTGGCCTTCAGACCAATCAAATTGTAGATCTGGAGTCCTTGTTTGCCTGACAGCGGACCAATGAGGGACTAGGAATGGAATTTCTGTCCAGGTAACCAGGTCCCCTCTGTGTCAGAGACGCAGTTTCTCTTCCCACCTGAGACTGAACCTGGAGCAGAGGGGGCACGTTTCTCCCAGGGCAGAGCAGGGGCACAGAGCTGACTGGGGGCAGCTGTCCAGTCACTCAGTGGTCTGGTCCCTGGGCCTCTTGTCTCCAGGACAGTCCCACTGCCCCGTTCCCACGTCGCTGCACCGTCCCAGTGGAGCTGATTTGCACGGAGCAGATCCCTTCCCTGCCCCCCAGTCTGGGGGTCACTGTTGCTGTTGAATCGGCCGGGACCGTGGGCTGCTGGCAGGAAGCTGTGGAAAGGCATGAGGTTGATTTGAGAAATTAAATAAAATGTGTGCGTGGACCTTACAGTAAAGAGAAGTGAGACTGTATATCAACTCTCCCTGCCCGTGATCAGGCTGGGGCGACAGGCGCGTCCCTCCCAGCCTGCCCCACAGGGGACAGGAAGTGACTTTCCTGCCCAGGTCAGGCTGCAGCTACAGAGTGGGGAGGAGCCCCTTCTCTGAGGGCCCCTGCTGTCTCACCCACAGATTCATCCACCGAAAGCTTTGCTGCTAGAAGTAGTATCAGCAAGAGGGACGCACCCGAGCTTCGTCGGGAGCACCCCGGTTTCTCTGACACAGAGAAGTCGCCTCCTTCCCAACCTGGATGGGAGCTTCTGGGCAGATGGTTTCTCACCTCTTTAGAGTTTCCCAGGATCCAGGGTCCCAGGTGCAGTTCTCTCCCAGACCTGTGGGTGGCGCTGGGAGGGGAATGGGTGTGAAATGGGCCAACAAACAGAGACATATCCAATTTTCACCTGGGCATTGCAGATAATCTGTTCTGCTCTGTGTGTGACGGGCGTGGGGGGTGAGGAGTGTGGATGGGGCGGTTATTGTGCGCCAAGGCCAGATGCCCTCCAGAGATGTCGTCTCAGCTGCAGGGTGGGCAGTGTCTCACGGAGTCAGGGCACCGGTGAAGGCTGGTCCGGGCCCTGAAATGAGGAGCACGTGCCTTCCAGTCCGAGTCTGTGTGTTTCACAATTACACTGCCCCTGAGGCCAATTTGTGGAAAGTGTCCCCAGTTTCAGATGCCCGGGGCCTGCTGAATGTTTGACCCTCTCTGCCCACAAGTCACACACCTGTTTCACATTTGCACACGCGAAGAAATGGAGTTAGAGACACAGGCAGCTGCCCAAGCCTCTGGTTAAATAAAGAGAAAGATATGAAGACACACGGAGAGACATTACCATCGTTGTGTATCCTAAAACTCACCTGATCCATTCCGCTACATTGCATCTGACGTCTGTTATTCCCACTGTGGGACAAAACGCTGTCTCCCCACTTCACTAGACTTCAGGGGAAGCCCGCAGTTGGAAACGCATTTTCCGTGCAGGGGCGTCTTCTCACTCCTGGGGCCCTTCCTCCAAGTCAAGCCCCAGAGTTCACCCTGTCCCCGACACCCTCCCAGGGGAGGATCAGCAAGAACCCTTCCTCTTCCTCCTCCCGCTCCTCCCCCACCGTGGTGCTCAGCAAGGCTTCAGCTGCTGGGATCCACGGACCAGCCTGAATCGACCCCCCGAATAATCAGTGGCGAGGAGTTCTACCATCATTAGAGGAAGAATAACTGGACTAACCCTTACTCTGCACTGGGCGCATGTGTATTAGATAAATTACTAATCCAATCGCGTCATAAAGCAAACACCGAAATCTCAGGGGATTCTACGGACGTTTCTTTTTCTCTGTCGTGGGTCTGCAGCGCACATGGTGCAGCTGGGTCGGGCGGGCTCGCTGGGGGCCTGGCTGATGGGGGGCTGCAGGTCGGGTCCCGTCAGCTCCGTGGGTGTCTCCATTCCGGGGCGGGAGCTACAGGACACGGGCGCCATCTCTCTCCCCAGGTCTCACCCCCTCTCCATCCGATCAGTGTCCCCCAGCTCCTCCTCCCGACCCCTGTTCCTCCGACTTCTCAGAGGAAGATATTGAGGCTCTTCCGCCCCCTAGTGGTCGCGGCGCTTCACTGCAGACCGTGAGCCTCGGAACTGCGTGCGCGCTCTGTCCACCGGGGAGTCCCGCCAGGTTCCCACAAGTTTGTGTAATATAAATGCAAATCGTTTTTTAAAACTGCGATACATGGTGAGAAATACAGTTTATATTGTAACTGAGGAGACACACTCAGATGTATATATATACACACTTTGTGGTCTCATAGTTCAGCTCGAGTTTCTCACATAAACCTCGCTCACTGCGCAGTGTGTGCATGTCCCCCCTACCAGCGGCGCAGGCCCCTGCAGGTGGCGCTGCTCCGGGAGGACCGTCTGTCCGCGGGAGCGCGGCGCCCCCTGGCCTGCGGGGCTCTGCTCTGCTTGTCCAAGGGACCGACTTTTGAAACTCAAAAATTGAACTTCAAATTTTAGGTTTGGACAGGCGTTTTTAAAAATAATTCTGAAAGCTAAAAATCGACATATTTCTCTTCATATTAATGCTGTCTCCCTCCCGTTTCCCGTGGAGACAGAAGCGGGTCAGTCCCGTGTTCGGGCCAAAAGCACGGACGACAGAAGCTCCACTTGCGTGTCTGCGGGAAGGCCCTCCGCTGATTTGCCTGCGCGCTGATGCCATCTCCTCTGACAGCCTCTCCTCCGAGCTCCTTCATTCCGCGTTTCACCCGCACACGGCGAGGGGCGGGGAAGGAACCCCGTTACTTACTGAGGGCGGCAGGGGTGGGAGCCCGGGCTCTCCACCACACCCTGCGGGGTCAGACGGTGTTACTGGGGAAACAACTGTCCAGGCCTCACGCCCTGCAGACAGAGTAACTGCTGGGGAGGCAGAGAGGCTGGGGCTTCTGCAGCCACAGCAGACGGTGCTGGTGGGGGGGGGGCGGGGAGGTTGGGAACAAAGGCTCCGGTTGCTCTGGGCGGCTGCTCCAGGTTCCTGCTGGCTGAGCTGCGCTGTCACTTGTGTAGAAAGGGGCTTGTCTGTCACCTGGAGGCAGACTCCCCTCCATGGACCGTGGGGGTGAAACTCTCTCTCCCTCCAACTGCACCAACCATCTCAGGCAGAGGCAAGTTAAATCATTGGCACCAACTGGTTTCACAAACTGCCCCTGGAGAAGAGGCCGCTCTCACTGGGGGAGCTCTGACTGGGGTCAGAGGAAGACCAGGGTTGGAGGTGAGGGCTTCAGGGGAAGCAACAGACAGGACACACAGGGACAGTCCCTGGACCTGGGTTGATAATGAGAAGGGACAGACAGGGACAAAATAAGGAAGAAGGGAATTCTCACACAGTAAATTCCCCTAAGCAGAAATTGAAACCAGACATTATCTATTTATCTGGACTTTGGATTTTAAGATGCCTCTCACTCTGTTTTACTCTCAAGACTGGTGCTGCAAGTGAAGAAGGTTCTGGAACAAATCAGTGACCTCAGTGAGCTCACGGGGTGATCTGACCACAGACACCTCACTGGGCAGGTCCGGGTGGGAGTGAGGCCCCAGGCAGACACGTCTTCAGTGAGAGGTTTCCTTCACCTTCAGCAAACCCTGTACACTGTCCTCGGGCACCTGGATTAACCTGCGTTTGAGGGGCCAGAGGTCACCCTGTTCCTCAGACCCTGGGAGAGTGGCCACCCTCCAAGGAGCTCGGGGTCTTGTTCCCTCTCCTTCCTCCCTCCTCCCCAGCCCCCTCACGGCCCCCTCAGTGCACACACAGAGAGAAGCTGCCCACCTGTCGTTCCCCAGAGCGGTCAGGTCCTCCCCCCACGACGGCAGTCGGCCTCAGACTAACTCTCATGAAAACTCTCTGCAGGATTCCACCTTCCCATGTCCACAGACACGAGCATCCAGGCTTCTGTTAAGCCAGACGTAACAAACTGAACAATGGCACTAGCGTTAATTTTGCTTCCCAAAGAAGTTATTTTTCACAAAACATGTTATTTACAATAGCATGTGATCAGTTAATCTCTATATTTAAATATATATAAGTAAATATGTCTTCAAAGCTTTTTCAGTCCAATACAGTAAATACTGTCAGATGTAAGTGAAATGAGCAAAACCTCTTCAGGGTGCTCAGTAATTCTCCAGTTTTTAATGCATCCTGAGAACAAGAAGCTGCAAACTGCTGGCCTCCCCACTGACCCTGACCTTGAATGAACGTGGTTCACACTCACCTGCTCAGCCAGGACCTTAAAGCTGGGGCCGTCCTGACTGAAAAGATTTATTGCAGGGACACCTGAGCCAGGTCAGATCCAGGATGTCCTTGTCCATTATCCTTCTGTCCTTGCCTGTCATCTGTCTGCACCTGGAGCTCTGCTGCGAGGGCTGGAACACTAGGGTCGGTGGGGATGGACCTTCAGGTGCTGGACCCCTGGCTGTCATGGGGGGGCCACCATACGAACAGCTTGGTCCCCCCCAGCTCTCGGTCCCCCTTCCTCCACCTCTGACCCCCAGTGGTGGCTCCTCACCCCTCAGGCCCTGGTGCATCCTGCTGTCCTCACCCCGAGTCCACAGTGTCTGGTGTCACCTCAGGTCCCATGCTGACAGGTCACCCTGATGTCAGAGCAGCAGGCTGTCAGCCTGTCACTGTCCCACATTGTCCTTGGTTGAGAGTCACATGGAACCACTGGCTCCCCTGAGACTGGCCCCTGCCCCGTGGGGACAAGCTCACAAGCTGCTACAGCAGCAGCCTCGGGGGGGATGGGCTGGGACTGGAGAGGGGTCCGGGGCCTATGGGGCAGGTTCTCTGGTGTCCCAGAGGGAGGGGCCGAGTCCTCTGGGTGCTGTGCTATGTGAGCAGAGACGGCCAGGGCTTCTCTACTGAGCTCTGAGACCAGGGCGCTGGTTCTGGTGGCTGTGGTGGGTCCCTGCTCCATGGAGAACCAGGCCACCCTCAGGCACAGTGACCCCCTGGGCCTCCGTGAATGCTGGGCAGAGGAAGAGGGGGCTGTCATCAGACCCCAGCCTGAGGAAGGGCCTCAGGGGCCCCGAGAAGTGGGAGCGGGGACACGTGTAGATGTGGGGACGATCCCTCATGTTGTAGAAGGAGACGTCTCCACATTCGTAGTCCAGGAGGACGGCCACCCGGCGAAGGCGCTCCTTCAGGGGAAGGGTCTTCTCCGGAGAGGACAGGACCCGGCACTGGTTTCCAAACAGCTCCAGGGCCCAGAAGCCATTGTGAGGGACCAGCAGGGCCTCCCCCTTCCTCTGCACACGGTCTGCACAGACCCCCACGGCCCACACCGTCACATTTCCTACCTCCACCTCCCAGTAGTGTCTCCCCGAGGAGAAACTCTGCACACCCAAGACGCATGGCCGGCAGTCGAATCTCTCGGGGTTGTTGGGCAAGATCTGCTTTGAGGGGCCCTGTCCCGTCCCACCCTCCTCTGGTCCTGGGACAGGAGGAGCACGGGGTGGGCGGTGTCTGGGTCCAGGAGCACGTCAGCTGCACGGGAAGTCTCAGGGTGAGGCCTGGGCGCTCAGGGGGACCCAGGAAGCTGGGGGGAAATACCCACAAGGTGGGACCTCCATGAAGGCCCCGTGACCCCAGACCCCAGGCAGCTCACAGAGGAGAGCCCCTGAGGCTGCATGTTCACCTGCTGAGTGAGGGGCGGGGCCTCAGGGAGAGCACACCTGGGGACTGAGTGAGCAGAGAGTTTAGTAAAGGGGCTGAAGTTAATGTCTCCCACTTTCTCTCCACATCCTGAGATGTGCCCCCTTTTCTATTACAAACAGATGGTCTCTGGGACTCTGTTTGGTTGCAGACTTCCCAAACTGGCTTCACACACGAGAGACCCTGTCCCCTCCGCCTACAGTGAAGCACTTCGGGCCACTCACCTGCCCCCAGAACACGGGACCTGCTGTCTCACAAGGAGACCCTGACCCCCTAGTCAGTGACGTCTGCTCCATCCTCTGTGCCTCTTGTTCTTACCCCAAACCCGTCAGGGAGAGGGTCCCCTGCAGGTGAGGCCCTACAGCCCCCCAGTTCATGGGTGGTTTTCTTTTGAACAAAAGATGTCAAACTCATTAACAAATACTTTCATTTTTGTCACTTGACAGGGCTGGGGAGACAGAAGAGCAGAAGCACCTGCTGTCACCGTTGGAAGGACCAGATGAATGAAAACCAACAACCGTCACCGTCCCCAGCTGAGCGACCCTCACTGTGGCCTGGTCACTGCAACCCCCTTCCCCATCTTCTGCCGACATCCGTGCAGTCTGTCCTCACACAGCTCCCTCCTCCAGGTCACCTTGCTGCTCTGCTCCAGTCCCTGCCGTGGCTCCTGTCTCACAGAGACTCCACCACAGGTCCCCTGTTTCCTGCTTTGCCCTGTCTGGTCTGGGCCCCTTCCAGGTCTGCACCCCCCTCCTCCCCTTCTCCCTGCACTCAGTCCCTCCCCCCACACCTGCCTCCCTGGTTCCTCGAAACTGCCAGATGTGCTGCTGCCTCAGGCCCCGGGCACCTGCCCCTCCTGCTCCCTGGTGCTCACCCCTCACGTGCCCTGTTGCCCTCTTCTCACAGGAGCCTCCCCTCACCTTTCTGGTTCCATCACAGCTCCCCTGCCTCTAGCCCTCCAGACATTCTTCCCTGATTGATTTTTCTACAGCACTTATCACCATCTGATGTAGTAGTTTAATTATTTTACTCCTTTAGTTAACTGTTTTATAGATTATTTTCTGCTTCTGTACAATATGAGCCCTTTGATGGTAGGGATGTTTATGCATTTTCTCCCCTGATTTATCTCCTGTTTCTAGAACTGAGCCTAGAACATATGTGATCCTTGCTAAGTGTTTGTTGAGTGACTTTATGAATGTCTGTAGACACTGACTGTCCCAGGTCCGTCCTTGGAAAACCCCATGGGCAGGAGGGGAGGCTTCAGCATCAGCACCCCCAGGTGCAGACACCCCCTGCCCCCACCACTCTCCATGGCGTGTGATTGTTCTGAACACACAAATGTAGCTGCAGCATCAGAACCACAACAGGGAAAATGAGCAGATTTACCCTCAGGGACAAGGCTCCTCCTCCTGGGACAAGAGACTCTGTGATGCCCCCTGTGAGGAGGGGAGAGGCCTCAGCTCAGCTGCAGCCTGAGCTCCTCAGGGCCCAGGACCCTCCCAGCCCCGCCCCTCCCCCAGCCCCACTCAGGCTCCCAACTGTCTGCTGAGGACCCTACCTCCAAGGGATGGCCTCCATAGGCAAGGAACTATCCTGGGATGAAGATCACAGAGTCCCTCTCCTGGCCCAGCAGGGCGGTGTTGATCGAACAGGATACATTCCTCACAGAGCTGTCCTCCATAATCACGGCCATGGTGACCCTATAGAGGCTGTCTGTGTCCTCTGTGTAAGCTTCCTCCAGGGTGGCATGAGCTCACCATAAGAGTCCCCCGACACTGGACAGGGCTCTGGGGACCACCCTGTGGAGGGGCACTCCAGGTGGACACCACCATCCTTGTGACCCTTCATCTCAGTGAGGGGCTTGGGCCCCAGGCCTGTGACAGACAAATAGTCTAAAATGTCTATTCCTAACACAAGTGACAGACCAAGACCCTTAGAGATCTCTGAGCAGCAGCAGGGGCTACTCCGTGGGGTTCCACCGTCTCCCCTGCTCAGGGCCCCACTGAGCTCACTGTGGCTTTCAAACTCAATGCCCACAGCTCAGCAGGACACACCCACTCACTGGGCACTTGGGCAGGAGGAAGCCCCCCTGCCAGGGCAGAGGGGTCCTCGACAAACATCTGCTGGTCTGTGGGGGGCCGAAGTGCAGAGGGAAACTATCCCCAAGGGTCACACTGTGAAAAAGTCACCAAAGAGAAACAATGGACCTGCCACCATCAGGCACAGAGTGGCCACAGTCATAGGACCTGCCTTGTTGGAATGACAGAGGTGCATGGGATTGTCCTGGGCTGTGACATTGTGAAGGAGCAGGGCCACCCTCCCCTTGCTCACAAAGGTCGTTCGTCCTCGTCACTGCCTCAACTGGATGCTGCCATTAGCTTATGAGCAAGGGCCCCACCAGCAGTGACTCCACTCCTGGGACTCCGTCCCCATGTCATTTGTAGATGGATACCGGCCAGCAGTATCCATCTTGGCTATGGATGCTCTTCAAAAACACGAGAAAAACATACACAGAGACAACCAGGTCCTGTGGGGGAATAGGGACAGAAGGGCCACTCTCTCTCATGGAGGGTGTGCTGTATCTATTCCCAAGCAGATTTTTATTGAGAACACAGACTTAGTTTGTGGATTTACAGTCTGGCAGAAAAGATCAAAAGAAGCAGGTGATTTACAAAGGTGCAGGCAGAACCCACACTGTGATTCTGATAGGAGCTTAAAACTTGGAAAATTTAGCTTAAGGTAAATAGTCATAAATCTAGCAAGTAATGTGTATGTTAAGTTTTTGTTTCAGTAACTACAGATAAGGCCTATCTTGGCACCTAAGAATAAACAGATGACCTCTTGGAGACGTCTGTACCAGGAAGAAGCAAGAGACTACCCTTCCCCCTTGGAGGCAACTGTTGATTTTGAAAGGCTTTCGCTGACACCTTGTTTGCCCTCCCCCAACCCCCTTATAAAAGATCTGGATGGGAAAGAAAGAGTAAGATGATTTGTTAGGGTATGAACCCGCCATCTTCTCGGATCACCAGCCATCTGGATAAAGCGCCTATAAAAGATTCAATCACTGTCATTGCTTATTGGGTTTGGTAGTGACAGGCAGCCCTAACACTGGTGTCTTTTCTGGTTACAATTCTGGGCAAAGTTTGGGGTTTTAACATATGAAAGGACTACAGGTTCCAAAGGTTTCCTGTCTGTGCCTTTAAATTCCAAGATAATAACATCCTCCAGCAAACAGATCTCACAGGATCTTGCATATTCTATGTCCCAGGCCTGATCACCCCAGGGATCCCTCATCTCTGCTCTGGGCTGCACTGCCCCTGCTAGCCTGAGTTCACAGAGAAGACAAAGGCAGCCAGGAGACTTGGATTTCTCACAAGGGCTCAGGCTTTGACAAAGCCAAGGGGGCAGGGGTTGATGTCAATCACCCCTTCATATCCACAGCCCCATGAATTTCTTCCCTTAGGGCATTCCCACGTGATCATGTCTGTTTTAGATTCATTCTCTTTCTTAGAGAATTGTTACCCGTCATTGACTGCCGACCATGCAAAAGGGAAGCCAGGTATTAGAACAGGCAGCGTTCATGCCAGGGAGATAAGTTTTGTCTCCTTAGTGGCTTCTGGTCTGGAAGTCTTTCACTCAGCCTAAGTCATGGGGGATTACAGCTTCCTGAGACCAGGCAGGGCGGTCCCTAACAGTCATTCCCTTCTTTTCCCCCACATCTGTCCCTGTGAGAACGACCCCAGATGTTCCCAGCCTGGAGGGTCTCAGCTTCTTCCAAATACAGCAAGGGGGCCGCTGGGGTCCTGACACTGCAGGGAACTCAGCTCTGCCAGCAGTCAGAATCAGCAACACAGACTTGTCCCTGGATCACCCCCAAAACAACAAACAAACAAAAGAAATAGCAGCCTGAAGACACCTTAAACACAGTCTGGCGAGAGCCGTGCTGGATTCTGACCCAGAGAATTGTGAGATAACAGATTTGTGTTGCATTAGGTCCTGAAATTTATACTATTACAGCAAAAATAGAAAGTTCATCCAATAAGCATTGGGAAAAATGTGCCAGGGAACTAAACTGTGAACCTGGTGAGTCATCCACGGGGTTAGATCTAGAAAGAGGTCAATTGAAGCGTGACAATTATTGACAACTTTATTTAACACACGTGACCTGACACCCACATGCGGGGCGAGGAAACACACAGTGAACAGTCACAGTGACGATGATGATGATGAGGAAGAGCGGCCTTTCCCCAGGACCCACAGGTGACAGGAACCTGGGAACCTCAGTGGGTGGTCAGCGGTGGGCGTCCCTGTCCTGGACATGGGTCCCACCGTGTGATGAAACTTCCACTGACGTCCGTCTGCCCCCTCCCCCCACCATCCTGCTCACAGAGGACCTCCAGGTGGGAGGTGGGGGGTGGGTCTGCCCTGTGCCCGCAGGTCACAGGCTGGTTCAGAAAGTGGCCGCTGGCCCCTTCTCAGCCTGTGTGATGGGGTCACTGTGAGTTCATCCCCTGGACCTCGGCGTCCTGCAGAGCCAGTCAGTGAAGGGTGGACCATGGCTCTGACAGTTGACCTTGAAGGATCCAAGTGGGGTGTGGCCTTCACAGTCACCTGCAGTGACCTTTACCCTTGGTGCCCTGGGAGGTATCAGGATGGGCAGGGTAGGACAAGTGGGAATGTAGTTACAATTAGCATTTTGGACTACAAATATGGCCACCGTTTGAACTAGAAGTAATATGGCAACTGAACTCTGACCCAGAAGAGGTGACTGACATCAGACTAGGAGCCACCAATGCTAAGTTGCTTCTTTGTTCACCAAGAACCAATCCTTGGCTCCCTTGCGAAGTCCAGCCATATAAAACTCCCAGCCTTTCCCTTCTCCCGAGCGGTCTTTTCTTAGCCCCTTCTCCGGGCGGGGAAAACAGTGCCCGGGAGCACAAACTTCCAAAATAAAGCTCATCTGCCTGTTTCCATGGCTAATTGGCTGTTTATTTCCTCGGCGGGGTCTAAGAAAACCTTACAGGAGGGACCCTCAGGGCTGCCCATGACCCTGCCCAACAGGACAATCAGCTGCAAAGGGACAGACGAGAGGGAGGGGGAGGGGCAGGGGATGGACATCATTCAGCACTAAAATCTGAGTGAATTATGTACCTCAGTGAACTGCCGCTGCCTCAGGTTCTGCACTTTCATAATGAGGCTGCCTCACAGGGTTTCTGGGGATGAGGTAGATTCACCTGAAGCAGGTAGCACAGCACTAGTACATGTGAAGTTACCAGAGATGTCAGCTCTGGTCGTTCGAAGCCCCTGACTCACCTTTGGAAAGTTAACTCACTGTCTGCACCCTGGTCTCCTTGTCTCTCGTGTGGAAAAACTGAGTGATTGTTAGTGAAGTCCGTCACTCAGTGTGTTTTTAGTGAGTGTTTTCTCACTGAGACATTTTGCTGTTCAGGAGGCCCTCAGCTCCAGGCAGGGCAGCCAGAAGCAGAGAAGTTTCTTCAGCCTGAGGGTCCCCATTCCCTCCAGCTGATGCCAGGGCCACTGGGGTCTCCAGGGAAGGGTCAGCCTTTGGGACAATCACGAGGGACCTCCTCACTGCTTTCTGTGCTGGGCAAATGGTCAAGGGAGTGGGATCATCTGTCAAAATCCAGAAAACAGGCCTCAGAGGCCCAGAGAAGCGGGTGTGTGGGAAGGTGAAGATGTGAGACCCGTCGAGGGCATTGTAGAACGAGACCTCCCCCAGCTCACAGTCCAGGAAAATCCCCACCCTCTCAGGGGGGCTCACGTTGGTCAGTCTGGTCTGTGGGTCTGTGAGAGCCCAGTAGTACTTCCCAGGATTCAGCCCCACTGTCCAGAATCCATTTGCAGGGACCATTTCACCGCTAGCTTTTCTGCTCACACTCTCCCTGCACATCCCAACACGCCATTCTTCTCTGTCCCCCACCTCCACCTCCCAGAAGTGTCTCCCTGACGTGAAGCTCTCACAGCCCAGCACACAGGACTCCCATTCAAATCTCTTCGGGTTTTCTGGCAGGTCCTGCCATTCCTCTGCCCGCTGCAGGCTCCTCTTGTCCCCAGAAACCAGGAGGGTGGGGTGCGCAGTGTCTGGGTCCAGAAACACATCCGCTGCAGGGGGTTCGGAGGGCAAGGGGTCAGCCATGGTTCCTGGACCTCAGAGCCTCAGCCTTCCAGGCCTGGGTCTGGGCAGGAAGCCAAAGCCCACAGTCTGGGGCCCCAGCCCACCCTGGATGGGACCCTCAGCCGTGCCAGGGAAACTGCAGGGGTCTCGTGTTTGGTGAGGAAGGGGAGGGTGAGGAGGGTTGAGATCTACCATTTTCCTGTTTCTGCCCCAAAATGTCATGCCCACCTGTGCTGTACAGTCACATGGATTAAACGTCAGCCCTGGCTCTGCCCTGAGCTGGGTGACGTCCTTTCCTGCACAGTCTCTCTGTCCTCAGACACCAGCTACGGAATATCTAAGTTCAATATCATGTCTGTGAACTGGGGGTAAAACACTGATCTCTGGGGAGGAATAGGACAAATGAGAGGTATACTGAACCCCAGGCTGAGCACAGAGGAAGTGTCTGGAGTGACAACAGACACCGTGTCCCTCCTGTGCTCGGGGCCAGGCTGGGCTCCATGTGCTCTGGGGTCCACTCCCCACCTGTCCCACCCCCTCTGGCCCAGGACTCAGTCCTCCATGGACAGCAACCCTGGCCCCTGGGCTCTGGTTACTGTTGGGTTTGGCCAAGGGGAGGCACAGGCTGAACACGGGGAGGAGGGAGGAGGGGGGGCACAGCGCTGACCCCCACGTCCCCCAGGGAGATGCTCCACCAGAGCACCTCCCCCAGGAGCCCCCCCTGAGCCTCAGCTGAGGCCCCAGGGAGTCCTCCCTGTCCCTGTGCCCTCGGCCCAGGGGTGGTCACAGCCCCCACTGCTGGGAGCCGTGGGGCCTCATCTGTCCTGGTTGGGTCTCCCTAATGTCGCCCCACCTGTCACTGTGAACACACCCAACCCCATCTCTGTGTCAGGGATTTCCTTCACCTCTTCCTGCTGTGACCTTTGACCCACCTCACTGTCCTCAGCCAGCACACCAAGGCCTCCAGGTGACTGTCATCCGTGTCCCTTAAACACGGCCATGAGCACTTCTGTCACTAACAGCCAGAGTGACAGGGGCACCGAGGTCAACTCCACACTGGGGATCGTGTGGAGGATAAAGGGTCACCTGTCACAGGACCACCGGGAGGTGTGGCTGGTGCTGCCCCATTCTTTGTCCCTGTTCCTGTCAGTCATCAGTGCCCGAGTCACAGTGTGAGAAAGTGCTGTAAGGGGTGTGTTGTCAGGGAACAATCTGTGCAGGTTGTGGGGTCCTCTGTCCTCTCTGACCCTGCACCCCTGGGAGTGAATCACCCTACAGCACACTCTGTTGCAGTCTGAGGAGTTGTCTGCATCGGTTTTAGGTCTTATGACACCTTCTCCTCACCGTGGTCATTACCGTCAGACAAACACCCCCTTCAAACAGGCCGTCTGTTTCCTGTGGGTGTTCTGACAACACACAGTCACCCCCTCACTCAGTCCTTGTCCCAGCCCTCACAGAGCAGCAGTGACTGTGGGACATGGCAGAACTCAGGGACACACAGGGGCAGGAGGGCAGGAGCCTGGTCAGGTCACCCCTCCCTCTCCCTGCAGCCCCTCCCTCCAGCCCCGCCCCTCCTGCCTCTTTCTCCCACAGAGACCTGTGGGCCCCAGGGCACCTGATGTCCCTGCTCCCTGGGCTCTGGGCAGCAGGTGGGTGCACTTTTGAGACCACGATCTCAGGTCACCCTCCCAGAAGTGTCCCAGTCAACAGTTGGAGAAGAAAGAGGGAGCAGGGGCCCTCGGGAGTTGTCCTGGGGACACAGAGGGACCCACTCACCAGGCTGGAAGAGGGCCGTCTTACACTCTGGAAGGAAGGAGACACAGACAAGGAAAGGTCACTCTTTCTGTGTTCCCCCCCCACTGTCCTCACTGAGCCTCTTCTCTCTCCTCTCCTCAGTCCCCTCCAACGTCCACTCCCCTCATCTGCAGCTCTGTGGGCCAGGCTGGACCCTCTCCCAGTGCTCGGCTTCCCTCCATCACACTGGGGCCGTGGGGACACAGCCAGGCTGTGCCGGGTGTGGGCGTGGGTGTCAGCAGGGTGAGGGGACACTGGGTCTGGAAGGTCCTCTCTGAGTGACCAGACAGGAGGGGGTGGTGCAGACACAGAGAATGAGCCTCTGAGCTGGACGGGACGGGCCCCCTCCCCCAGCAGGAAAGGCTGCACCTGCTTCCCCCCACAGGAGCCAGGGAAACCAGAGAGCCTCAGGCTCACTCACCTGCATAGGCCCTGAGACCGCTCCTCACCTGCAATGGAGACAGACAGTCACCTGAACTGTCCTTTCTGAGTCGGTTCCTTCCTCTCCCTTGTGCCCCCCTGTCACCTTCCTGTGTGCCCCCCACCCTCCCCACCTCCCCCTCTGCCTGGTCCCTCCCCGGCACCCCCTCCTCTTTCCATCAGCTGCAGCTCAGGACCCCCAGGCGCCCTGCAGGGGCTGTCCCAGGGTCACCGCACAGCTGTCCTGTCCGTGTCTGTGCAGCAGTCACCTCTCATCCCCTGCTTTAGCTTCTGAAGTTTCAGTTACCTTCTGTCAACCAGGGTTGGGGAGAGTGAATAAAAATTGCAGAAACAAACAATTCATAAGTTTTAAATTGCACATCAGTCTGAGCAGCGTGATGAGGTCCCCTGCTGTCTGCTCCGACCTGCCCCCTCAGGAATCCCCCCGAGTCCAGCACGTCCACCCTGGGGGTCCCGCCCTCCCTTAGTCCCTGAGGACTTTCTCTGTGACAGATGGACGGTCCCAGTATCACAGCAGTGGTCTTCAGTCACCCGTATTTTACTTAATAACAATCCCAACAAGCAAGAACAGTGATGCTGCAGTGCTGGTGTGCCAATGAGAAGCCTTCCTTCACATGAGGGGGAAAAACCTCGTGTATTCAGGGTTTGGTCCTCTCCACGGTCAGACATCCCTGGGGGACAAGGATGGCGACCCTGTCATATAAGCGATGACCAGGTTCTCCAGCGCCTGGGTGTGTCTGCACACACACTGCCCTGTGTACACATGTGTGTACCTGTGTGCTGGAATTCATTCACCTAAATCTGCATTATTTCTTGCCCACTCCGGAAACAATGGACCAACCTAACTGGAAAATTTCAGATACTATTTTTTTCAGCAGTGATGATAAATCTGTGACAACTGACACGGCCACTCCTGTTTTTAAGACACTTTTCGCTCCTTTTGCCTGCTTGTCAGTGCGCTACAGAGTTTGTGGACCAATGAGGGCGGGAAGGACCCCCATACTGAGTCACCTCCCCATCCCCCACTCCTTTCCAAGGTTCCCAGGGTGTCCTGCGTGAGCGCCCCCTGGTGCAGAGAGACCCACAGCCCCTTTCCCCACTGAGACAGACCACTGCCTGGTGCCCCCAATTAGAGTCCCTCCCTTTCTTCCCCAGGAAGCTTAGGCGGGAGGAAAGGGGCTGAACTATCTGGGCAGAGAGGCAGAGATGCAGGTCCGGGTACTCACGTGGTAGGTACGGGATGTTTGTCCACCCTGCAGGGAACAACGTGAGGGGTCAGTGAGATGGGTAACGCAGGGACCCCACGATCCGTGGGCCGGGGATCGTCACTTACTGAGTTTGTCCTGAAGTTTCTCTGGAAATAAGCAGGAAAAGAAAATCCTTTAAAGGGGATGGAATAGAGGACCTGCGTGGTGGGTGCTGGGTGGGGCCGGGAGGTGGTGACCACCTGCAGCTGGGCCTCACCTTTGGCGCCTCGCTCCCGCTGCTCCTTGGCCTGAGCTGCTTCTTTCTCCGCCTGCGCTACTGCTTTCTCCCTCTTAGCTGCTTCTTTCTCCTCCTGAGCTGCTGCTTTCTCCGCTCGCTCCCTCTCCTTCTCCTGGGACAGGTCCTGGATCTTCTTCTGCTGTCGCCACAGGAAGTAGCCCGCCCCAGCCAGGAGCCCCAACAGAGCCGGCAGGGTCACGCCCAGGGTCACCACCCAGGGCTGCGTGATCCGGAAGAAGGGGCCTGCGAAGGGTGAGCCTCAGCTGATGGCCACCCTGGGTCTCAGAGTATCTGGGGACTGAAAACAATCGTTCTCTCCCCGAAGTGCCCAGAACTTTCACTGGCACAGAACACCGTTGTCTTGCAGTAACTGCCTCTCACATGGGAATATTTTGAATATAAAAGAACGTATACAAGAACATTGAAATCTCTCCACTGCTCCTCCCTCTGCCATTTATTATCTCCTTGTAAGTCAGTTTAATCTGGGGATTAAGAACATGCACTTTGGGGCTGGAGGGCCTGGGCTCCAATTCTGGGTCTTCCACCTGACTAGCTCTGTGACCTTGAACTAATGACTTAAGCATCTGTTCCTGGTCCTGATGGGTAAGAGATTAAATTAATGCTTATACAGTGCCTGACACATAGTGAGTGCCATGGAAGTTTTATTAAATTTTAAAAACATAAATGTAGTTCTATTTTATCTTGTTTACAGTGAAGACAGCACTCTATGCCAGCTGATGTGCTGGTTGTTCTCTCTGCTCCCCTGGGTCTGGGCGACCTTCCCGCCTCAGCACAGGGGGCAGGTCTGTGTCTGCTCTCACAGGGCAGCGCCCCCTGCACACACGGCCCCTCGGGGGCACTTGCACCGTCTCTGACTCTTTGTTACTATAGTTAATGGTGCAGGAAATAACCTTTTATGTGGGTCATTTCACAGAAATGTGAGCTGATCTGTCAGATAGATTTCCCAGAAGTGGGGTCTTGCATTACTGAGTGAGCACTCTGGATGAGGTGGCTCTGGTGTCCCCAGTGGAAGTTGTGCTTATTGACATGAAACTACACCCAACAATAGCCACAAACCTCTAAGAGTGACTGGCTCCCAACAATTCTGCTGTCAGAATGTGTCACCATCACCTCGTTTTTCCTGTTTTGCCAGTCTCACAGGTGGAAATCACCTCCCTAGTCAGTGTGATCGGACACCTTTTCCTGAGTCATTTCCTGTTCTATGAACTGATACTTCCTGTTGTTTGCTCAGTGTTCTACTAGGTTGTTTTATATTTTAAGGAGATCACCCCTTTCTCTAAGATTTGTGTTGTACATTTCTTTCCCCTTTTCTCATGTCTTTGCTGATCTTGACCATTTGCCCCCAGTCCCCATCCCCTGGCACCCTGTGTGGCCGCAGGAAGTGCTCAGAAGGTGTCTGTGACACAAAGAGCTTCATGGGGAGGGAGCAGCAGGTCCCTGCTCTGTCCCTTCTGTTCCCTGCACAGACCCAGGTCAGCAGCAGACAACCACACCTTCTCCCAGGGGCCACCCAGGAGCCCAGGGCAGTGGGCAGGACACTCACCTGCTATGGAAACCCTGGCTGATGACCTTTCCTGGCCCAGCAGGGGGTTTCTGATGACACAGGAGACCCCCTCCCCAGAGCTGTCCTCCAGGATCACAGAGGCTGAGGCTGTATAAAGGCCCTGGGGGTCTGCAGCCTCTGTGGCCACCTCAGCAGACAAGCTGTGTCCCCTGGCGTCTCTCCACTGGATCTGGGGCTGCGGGTACCAGCCGGCAGACGTGCACTCCACACGGATCCCTCCAGCCTCGTACCCCTTCATTTCAACGTGGGGGTCAGAGCCCAGTGCTGGGGAGGAACAGTGAGTCTGAATCCTGGGGAGCCCTCTGCTCTGGTGGGGGTCTCCACAGCAGGGAGGGGCACACCCACCCTGGATGAGCCCAGCAGGGATTCACAGGAGCTGCTCCCAGAGTGTGCTGTGCAGGAGAGACTGACCCTCGGTGTGACCACTGCTTGACCATTGCTGGGCCCTCGTGCTGGAAAGGGGGATCTGGGCTGGAACTGATATTGTTTCCCCTAAATCACCTTAGAGACTGCTGGACTCTCCCTTCCCCATGTCCCAAACATGCTGGTTCCTGGAACAGCCCCTCACCCCACCCTGGGCAAGCATGTAAGTTCCTGCTTAGTTGAAGCAGGCCCCACCCCAGAGGCCCCATCCATCCTGCCTGTCCTGTGTGAGCCTCTGCCCTGCCTGCCATGTGGGGGAAGGATCTGCACTTGTCTTGCACTACCCCAGCTGTGTGCTGTATGCTTGTCCCCGTGGGAATCTCTGATGTAATTAACGCTGCAGGTGTCAGCCTGCTTTGGGGCCCCTCCTCCATGGGAAGTTTCTATCACGTGACTGTGGAGAGGGGAACACTTCTCCACAGAGGAGCGCTGACCCAGGCCAGGAACTGTGGGGTTTTTGCTACTGACACTGAATCCCTAAACACAAGAGGAGCAGGCAGGGAGCCCCTTACAGACCTGAGAGGACAGTCCTGTGGGGAGGACTCTCTTCAAAGGACCTGTGGTCTACAGGGAGGGACAGTGTCTGGGCTCAGGAGGCCCCTGCAGGGACAAAGCCAGGACTCCCCCACAGTCCATCCCCTGCCGGGCTCCCCAGGGACCCACCAGGCAGAAGCCCAGGGCGGGGCTGTGTCCTGAGAAGGTGAAGTGCAGCCCTGACACCCGGACACGAGCACTTTCACGGGGCAGCACCCTCAGACAAGGTCACTCTGTCACTGGGACGGGTCAGGACAAGGTCAAGACCACTTAGCAGTCGGTCTGAGCACAGAGGAAGCAGGAACAGTGTGCAGACCACAGCAGTGACCACCCTCCCCTGTCCTGGCTGGGAGTGACCCATGACACCCCTGCACCTTCCTGACAGCATCCAGCCCAGAGCAGAGCCCTGCTTCCACATCCCCCCAAGTCCCCTGACAGCCCAGAGGTCACACCCAGATCCTCCCTGACACCCCCTTCTCTGAGACACCCCAGGTTTCCTCCCCTGTGCGTCCCCCCTCCCTGCTCCAGGGATGGACACACCCTGTTCAACTGCACGTGTGTCCCGGGGCCTTTGGTTGGAGGGTGTGGGCACCACAGGTGCTGTCCCTGCAGCTCAGCCCCCTGGACCCACAGCAGCGGGCACCTGGGGGCCCACGGCCACTGTCTGGGACACGCTGAACCCAAACACCTGTGTGCCTCCCACTGTGGGGGGGTCTCCTCCTCCTTCCCGTCCCCGACCTCCACTTCCCTGCTGAGACCTGGTGGGCGGCGTGAGGGACTCTTTACTGGATGCAGGAGGAGCCCTTCCTGGGGGACGACCTGGGTCTGTCTCGGGCCTCAGAGGAGCAGGGAGGGAGCTGGAAGGGGGGGGCATGGGAACCACTGGTGGTGAGGAGCCCCGAGTGTTCTCTGATGGGCTTGGACTGTCTTCCCTTGACTCCAGGGAAACAAGCACAGATCAAACCTGAGTCTCACCTGCAACCTTCAGCTGCACCAGGGCATTTTCAGAGAAGTCTCCATCTTGGAAATAACACAGGTAGGTTCCTCTGTCAGAGGCTCTGATATCCCGAATCCGGAGAGCAGCCTTCCCTGCAGTGATGTCCTCTCGTAAAATCGAAGTTCTCCCTCGATACTCTGCTGCCGGCGTGTCCTCCTGCCCGTGTGCGTACGTGTGCACTACCTGCCTGGGGCTGGGTCGCACCCACATCAGCTCCATGGTCTCAGCGCTCATCTCCGGGGACAGGTGACAGGGCAGCTCAGCGTCTTCACCCACCATGGCCAGGATGGGCTCGGGGGGTCCAACCACAGCAAACTGAGCTGGTCATCAGAAGGGGGGGCTCCGTCAGAGGGAGCTGGGGCCAGAGGACCAGGGGGTGCCCCAGCAGGGAGGGCGAGGGGAGAGACACCTAGACAGGAACTCAGTCCTCACACAGGTGGGTCTGGACGGGCCTTGCAGGGGTGGGGGGAGTCCAGGGTTCTGACTGGGCCCCCAAGGGAAAGGCTTCAGGTGCACGAACGCAGAGCAGGTCCTACCTGAGCAGGGGCTGAGCAGCTGGACCACGGCGAGGCAGACAGGGAGGGCAGGCAGACGGGGAACCAGGCGCCTCACCATCGTTCCCTGCTGTGCAGACAGAGATGCCAGGAGGGGCTGGGTAGCAGTGATGACCTTGGAGAAGGTGGAGAATTCAACGTGGAGGCGCGGCCTCCCCAGGGCTGGAAGGGGGCACAACCAGGATCCCTGCTGACGGGAGAGCCTGCCTCTGCAAATGTCTCCCTGGGGAGTCTCTTTCACCTTGGATCCCAACACGGAAATCACCCAGGAAACATGGAACAGTAATGGACGTACCTTAACCCTCGTCCTCAGGGAGAACGGAGCCCTCCTGTGCGAACGTGCTCAGAAGTCCCTCCACTCACCCACACTTCCCTGCCACAGCCAGGTGCCTGCCACCCAGCATCACCCTCTGAGGGAACGCAGGCACCCACTGCTCTAGTCTCGAGTCCCACTGCTGCCCCCCTGCAGGCCGTGCTCCCGCACAGCAGCCAGGACGTCCTGACCCCTCCCTCCCTGCTGCTCAGCCCCTCCCAGGGGCTCCCCATTCCATCCCAGAGCAGAAGCGGGAGTCCTTTGCACCCTGTACTTTTACAATTACCTGAATGTTTTAAATGTTAAAAGTTTTCACAGTGTGGGATGTATTTCCACTTATTTCTGGAAATATTTATTGTTTTTTTATTCCTGATCACAGACAAGTATAAAATGACCAAAATATTATTTATAGTAATAATAATAATAGAATAAAATATTTATAACTTATAATGGAAATCATAGACTTTGCTTTATATGAGTGTAAATATTTCTGAACATATTTTGAATATATATATACACACACAGACACACACAGACACAGAATGGCTTTAAAATGTTTTTCGTTTGAAAAATTTACTCTCAAAGAAAAAAATGGGACATTATCACAAAGGTTTATATTTAAGTGTGCCTGTAATAGCAAAGTGAAGATACAATTTAAATACCCAAACTGCAACCAATTTTGTTACAAATATGTAGAAAACCTCTTTATTAAAAACATGATTCCTAAACTAACAATTCACATAATCTCAGTGGTGCAAAGCTGAAGGCTGTTCCTGTGGACCAGGAAGAAGAAACAGATGCCCACTATGACCACTTCCATTCAGTACAGTGTTGGAAGTCCTGGCCACACTGATCAGACAGGACAGAGAAATAAGTATCATACAAATCAGAGAGGAGAAAGTAAAATTCTCACCATTTGCAGATGACATGATACAAAATAGAGAAAAGCCTGAAGACTCCGCCACCCCCCCAAAAAAAACCTAAACAACTATTAGAACTAGTATGAATGGAGTCACATTGCAGGATATAAAAGCAGAAACCTGCTGCATTTCTACACAGCAATACTGAATATTCAGAATGAGACATTCCTCAAATCCTGTTTTCATTATCATCCAAAAGGACAAAATAACTAGGATTCAATGTAAGTGAAGAGTGACAGACCTGTACAGTGACAACTGTGGGACAATGAGGACAGAAACTGAGGAAACACAAATGAGTGGGGACATACAGTGTGCTGGTGTTGGGAAGGGTTCATATTGTCCCAATGTCCGCACAGCCTAAGGCAACACACAGATGCAGTGCAATCCCTACTAAAGTACCAACGACCTACTTCTCAGAAGTACAACAACTAACCCTAAAATGTATGTGGAAACACAAAAGCTCTGAACAGCCAGAGAAACCCTGAGACAGAACGAAGTTGGTGGTGTCACACTCCCTGACAGGACAGGACGTCACACGTCTGCACTGAAGAGACAGCAGGACCTGGCAGGACAGCAGTCACCAAGTCAATGGGACAGACCAGAGAGCCAGCAGCGAGTCCTCCCTTCTGTGGGCAATCGGTCTGAGGTGAAGAGACCCTCTCCAACATGCTGTTGTCGGACCTGGACGGATACGAGCAAAAGGGTGTGACTGCATCCCTTTCCTAAACCAAGTATGAAGAACACAGAATAAAATTAAAGATTTAAATGTAAAATCTGAAACCATAAAACTGGATGAAAACATGGGCAGTGAATTCTCTAACATCACTGTTCACAATGTCATTTTGGGCATGTCCCCTTGGGCAAGGGCAGAAGTGAACAAATAAAAGAATGAGACCATCTCAAAGTAACAACAGTTTGCCCAGCACAGAAAACCATCACAAGATGAAAACACCATGCAGTAAATGAAGAAGATATTTGCCAATAACACAATTAAAAAAGTGTTTAGCTCTGAACTGTGTGGCTCAGTGTGTTGAGTGCCAGCCTGAGAACCCAAAGGTTGCCAGTCAGATTCCCAGGGAGGGCACAGGCCTGGGGTGCTGGCCGGGTCCCTGGTAGGGAGCATGTCAGAGGCAAACAATTGATGTTTCTCTTGGGCTTCAGTGTCTCTCTCGCTCTCTTTCTCCCTCCCTTTCCCCCTCTCTAAACATAAATAAATGGAATCTTAAACTAAATAAATAAAATAAAAAGCAGGTAGTGATAGGACCCACTTTTTAAACTGCGTTTAATATTCAGAATTTAGAAAGAACTCAGACAACTAAACACCAAGAAAGCAAACAATCGAAGTATAAAATGAGCTGTGGGCCTGAACGGACTTTTCTCCAAAGGGTAGGTACAGACGGCCAACAGACACACGGACTGGACCCCCTTGTGGTCAGACACTGTGTAGTCATGCATTCCTCGACCGTTGTGTGTGTGGATGCTTCAGATTGTTCTATATCACAAGTATGTCTTTAACAATCTTCTTTACACATACATCTTTATTATATCCTCACACAGGGACATTTTTCTTCATTACTTCTAGAGGGGGAGGAAGGGTGGAGGAGAGAGTAGGACGATGAACAGACAAAGAAAGTGGGCAGGAGAGAGACACATCAGTTGGCTGCCCCTCCTGGGCTGCGTATTCAGGGGATGGAACCCAACACCTAGGTCTGTGCCCTGACCAGGAATCGAACCCCTAGCCTTTTGGTGTGTGGGACGATGCTCCAACCAACTAAGCTGCCCTGGCCAGGGTTTTACAGTTAATCTTTAAGGCACACACCTGGTAACCCACCCCACTATTCTCTCCACATTATTTCTGTAAATGATGACTGGCTAACTTACATGTGACTCAGATAAACAGCCAGTTTGCTGAAGAATTCCAGACACCAACTTCAGAAGGAGCTCACTCCACCCTCAGACATTCGGCTCTGGGAGATCTGCTGACCTCGACCAGGAACCTGAACAGACTGTGTTGTTTGCACCTTGTCCCCTCCAGGCAGAACTCTCAACACCCTCCCTTCCGTGTCTTTGCTGTGTATATTTTCTTCCTTCTCTCTCCTTACAGAAACCCCTTCCTGTGTGTGATTGTTCAGATGGTCTTTGAGCTGAGACCCCCATCATCCCCAATACCTGGCCCTTGAATGGACCTACTTTCCTCCCGCCAGTCCTGGTCTCTCTGTTATTTGCTTATGAGCAGCAGGCAGTCACACCTGGCTTTGGTGTCAATGCCTCTTCTAGAATCTCCTAGAACACGTTCCCAGAGACGAGCAGGAGAGACTGTGAGGGGCCTTGCTCCTCTCTGACCACAGGAAGCTCCCAGGGACGGGCAGGTGTCCAGCTCCCTGGTTCCCGTTGTCTCCCTCCCACAGGTGTCCCAGTGCAGACCTTACCTGCCCTGCTCCACGCTCCCCTGTGCCCTCACCTGCAGGCTCACAGCCCCACACTCCTTCCCTGGGTGAGGGACACCCTGCAGGCTCCCCCAGCTCCTCAGCCTCTCTCCTAAAGGGACCTGGGGCCCTGGATCTCACCAACTGCCCCCACTTAACCTTGACACTCCCAGATGAAAATCACAGAGCAAAGGTACTCCAGGTCTCTTTATTATAGGTGAGTCTCTGATATGGATGAAAGGGTGGGGAAGGAGAAAGGGTGCTCAGCAAGGGAAATGGGCAAAGTCCCTCTTTGAAAACCCTTGTTCTCTGATTGGCTCTGAGCCTTGTGTGTCTCATCAGTTTCTGGGCAGAAACCAGTGGGCAAGGTTGGTGTGAACCAGGACCCCCTGTTGGAGGGAGCAGTGCAGACCAGCTCCAGCCCTGACTCCCTCCCTCTGTGTCTCTCTGTGTGGTCACCTGCGTGAATCAGTCCTGGGTGTGGGTGTGTGTGAGCAGTATCTCACTGTACACACCTGCTTCATGTCACTTGTGTCACAGTGTGTTCAGCAGAGGAACCAGGACAGAGCAGCAGAGGGCAGTGTGTGAGGAGAGGAAGGTGCAGGAGTTACAGGGTCACTGTGGTTGTTGGCTAAGGTCTTTGACAGCAGAGCCCCGTGCAGGTGTGCCAGAGAGAGGGCAGGCCCACGCCACCTGTCCTGGCCCCTGTGACACTCAGGTCTCAGATCCACTCCCAGGCAGCACCGTGTTCAGGTTCCCACGGGCGGTGCTGTCAGGGACCGATGGGCAGGTTCCAGGTTTTCTAGGGAAGGGTCATGGGGGCGTGGCTGAGAAGGTCCATCCAGCCTCTGCCCCTCATCTGAGCTGCACCTGGGTTTCAGGTGTGCTCACTTCTCTCTGCTGCAGGGTCTGTGTTCTCTGAGGTTGGACGGGAGAGGATGTGAGTGTGTCTGTCAGGGGACTTGGGGACCAGCAGGGTCTGCCTGTGGCCTGTGGCCTCCAGAGACACTGTGTTTAGGTCTCTAGGTCATGAATTGATCTCCCAGGGCAGAGTGTGACTGTGGCTGATGGACTGTGATGCATTCCATGGTGTGAATGTGGGTTCTGGGGTGAAGGTGGCTGCTCCCTTGTGCCCCATCTGTTTCCTGCTGCTTCTCAGTGAACAGACCTTGTTTCTGGGGGAAGGTACGTCATGTGCCCATCCCTCTTGATGACGGGAGTATCTAGGGCACAGGAGACAAACACAAGGTCCGAGGACCAAATCCGGCCCCCCACTTTGTTGTATCCGGCCCAGGAGCTAGTTTCTCCTCAGCGGCAGCACCAAGCTCCTGGCCCCTAGTTAAGGAGTAGTTACATCTATACAGCCCTAAAATTACATTCTGCCCTTTGAAGGCAACCAGGAGGCTGATGTGGCCCCTGGTGAAAATGAGTTTGACACCCCTGAATTCTAGGGACTAAGTTTGAGCCGATAGTTTGCAGGTTGAAGTTGTTGGTTGTGTTCCTCTAGAGACCCAACTCCTCCCACTTCCTCCTTCCTCTTGGGTGGACACCGTCTCTGGACCTGGAGCTCAGCAGCCATCTCGTCACCCAGAGGCCACCTGGGGATGGAAGCCACACACTGAGAGGGCAGAGATGGAGACAGGTGGAGGCTGGGGCGTGGATGCCTCTCTGAGCTCTCAGACCAGCCCTGGACCACTGCCCTCTGGGGTCATCTCCCGTGAGAGGAACGTGGACCCGTGTTTAGTTGAAGCCCCTGGCACCTCTGGTCTCTGTTACCAGCAGCAGTACATGGCTCTTCCCGCCCCACCCCCTCTGCCAGCAGTTTGTCAGGAAAACTACAAACACAGAACACAGCTGAGAGACTGTTTCAATGAACATTAAATATATGTACTGCTTGTTTTTTACTACTTTCTCTTTTTCCTTTTCAAACTGTCCTGTAGTTTTAAAATTTGAATGTATTGGGGTGATATTGATTCACAAACTCAGTTTTGAAGTGTAGAACCCAATAAAACTTCATCTGCTCACTGCTTTGTGCACCTGTCATTGCAAGCAAAGTCCTTTTATGTCCCCATTTTTTGCCCCTTTGCCCACCTCCACCCAACCCCAACACCCTTTCCTTCTGGCTGTCACCACACAGTTGTGTGTGTCTGTGAGTTACGTGTGTGTGTGTGTGTGTGTGTTTATGGCTCATTCCTTCACCTTCTTCCACTCAGTCCCCAACCCCTCCCTTCTGACAGCTGTCAGTGTGTCCTGTGCATCCAGGCCTCTGCACACCTGCTGCTGAGGGTCCACAGTGCACGTTTACAACACACACTTACTTCATAATCATCCATCCTTCTGTTGATGTCTTATGCTTACTCATCTGCAGCCTTTTAGAGTAAGCTGGGAGCATCAGTACACCTTCCCCTGGGAGCATCCACACACACCTGTCACGCAGAACTCAGTCCTGAAATGCGTGAGGCACCGAAGCTGTGTTTAAAACGTGGATGTAGGAGTAATTTTCAGTCCTAATTTCAAAACACTCAGTGGGTATCCCTCGCTTCTAAATGTCGTCTCCCTCCTTTTACAGACAGTCTGGCCCAGGTCCCTGGCCCCTCCTCCTAAGATCAAGGCCACTTCCAATGTTCTGTCAGCAGGATGCTCCCCACAGCCTGACACAGGACAAGCACCCACTCAGGCCCCTTCCCTTGGTCCCCTGGCATCTGATGACAGAGGTTCTGGCTTCACCGCTGATGCCACAGCAGGGGACTGTCGTTCTTGGGGACCTGTAGGATGTGGGGCCCCATGAATCCTCTCAAGAATGGCAGTGTGAACCCTGAGAAAAAAAGACACCCACTAACAAGGGGTCTTGGTGGGTAACTGGGCTCACATTTTGAAACATACAGCCCAGGAGCCATTTCTGCACAGGGGTCCCTCCCACAAACTGGACGTCACAGAGAGGACTGCACTGGTTTGCCCACCTTTGCACTGACCCTTCCCACACGTGATTTTTCCCAGTGAGCCCGCCCTTCTGCAGAAACCTCCCAGAAGCCCACTTCAAGCAATAAGACTCAGGCTTTAGCCTTCCAGGCACAGGTGTGCAAGTCGGGCCAATCAGAGCAGCTCAGACAAGAAAGTGACTTTTGGACCAATCAAACAGTAACAATTTGGAGCCCGCATTTGCATGAGGGTGGGCCAATCAGGGCTAGAGTCTAGGGACAGGGACTCCTGGACTTGTAAAGCCCCTCCCCTCTGTGTCAGAGACGCAGTTTCTCTTCCCACCTGGGACTGAACCTGGAGCAGAGGGGGCACGTTTCTCCCAGGGCAGAGCAGCGGCGCAGAGCTGACTGGGGGCAGCTGTCCAGTCACTCAGTGGTCTGGACCCTGGGCCTCTTGTCCCCAGGACAGTCCCACAGCCCCGTTCCCACGTCCCTGCTCCGTCCCAGTGGAGCCGGTTTGCACGGAGCAGATCCCTCCCTGCCCCCCAGTCTGGGGGTCCCTCTTGCTGTGGAATCGGCCGGGACCGTGGGCGCCGGCAGGAAGCTGCGGAAAGGCCTGCGGTGGGCTCAGAGGGTAAATGCAGTGGGAGCCGGGCCCCGCGGCGCAGAGCACTGGGGCTGCACGAGAACTCTCCCTGCCCGTGGTCAGGCCGGGGCGACAGGCGCGTCCCTCCCAGCCAACCCCACAGGGGACAGGAAGTGACCTTCCTGCCCAGGTCAGGCTGCAGCCACAGAGTGGGGAGGGGAGCCCCTTCTCTGAGGGCCCCCTGCTGTCTCACCCACAGATTCATCCACCGAAAGCTTTGCTGCTAGAAGTCGTATCAGTAAGAGGGACACATGCCAGTCTTGTCTGGAGCACCCCGTTTGCTCTGACGCAGAGAAGCCGCCTCGTTCCCAACCAGATGGGAGCTTCTGGGCAGATGGTTTCTCACCTCTTTGGAGTTTCCCGGGATCCAGGGTCCCAGGCGCAGTTCTCACCCTGACCTGTGGGTGGCGCTGGGAGGGAAATGGGTGTGAAATGGGTCAATATACTCAGAAAGGTCCATTTTCACTAGAGAAAGCTGTGCTGTAGGTAAGGTCCCCTGCTCTGCACGTGAGTGTGTGTGTGTGTGAGGGTGTTGTCAGCCCGCAGGGAGGGGCCGCCCAGCAACGCTCGTCTCCACGGCGGCGAGGACGACGTCCGACTGAGTCGGGCACCGGGGAAGGCCGGTCCGGGCCCGGAAACAGAGAAGCAGGTGCCTGCGGATCCGACCCCGACATGACGAGGAGGAGCAGAGCGGGGGTGGGGGGGGGAGGACCGCCAGGGCCACCGTCCAGGCAGGGGGGCTGGGGATGAAGACTCCTTCTGGAGGGAAGACTAGAAAAGTCCCAGTCAGTGAGACCAGGGAGACCCAGGTGAGAGCACCCGTGGGTGCCCCTCTGAGGAGCTCGCTCAGGTCCCTGCTCTGTCCTCTTCCCTCCCAGGAACCACAGTGGGGGCCGCGGCTGGGGGCTGGTGCAGACAACTCACACACGTGACCCACAGAGCAGAGGCCGCCCCTGTGGCCCACACAACACGCCCACGCTGACGTCTGCTGGGCGCGCTGGAAACACCCCGTTGTCAGGGAAACTGACAGACGCCCAGGGCAACCCTCCCACCAGCTCAGCCACTCACCTGCCCCCCACACACAGGAGCAGCTGCCTCACCAGGACACGCCGGCCCCCAGACAGTCAGGCCTTTTCTGCCTCTGCACCCCTTCCTGTCGCCCCAAATCTCTCCGGGGGGGGCTCCCCTCCGGGTGAGGCCCTGCAGCCCCCAGTCCATGGACGGTTTTCCCTCAAACAGAAGCCGTCAGCTGGTCACCAAGTAGTTCTAGTTGTGTCACCTGTCAGGGCCGAGGAGACAGAGGAGCAGCAGCACCTGCAGTCCCCGTGGGAAGGACCCGATGACTGAAAACCCACAACCGTCACTGTCCCCACTGAGCTGCCCTCACTGGGGCCTGGTCACTGCAACCCCCTCCTTCCGGCTTCTGCTCCAGTCCCTGCCCTGGCTCCTGTCTCACCGAGACTCCACCACAGGCCCCCTGGGACCTGCTTTGCCCCCGTCTGGTCTGGGCCCCTTCCAGGTCCGCACCCCCCTCCTCCCATCCTCCCTGCACT